ATCTAATTGATCGAATGAAATATACAAAGTCTATTCTGATTTCCTATAGTAATGATAATGCATGAATAACTACAATGCAGAATAAGAGCATATGGAAATGAAAGATATTTTACAGGGGTTCGACTAAGCGGATCCTAAGGCCAGCATTATACATGGGCCGCCCACAGTGAACAGCAGGAGTTTGTGCACTGAGACATAGTCATGGTTGATACAACAGGTACAAACAATGAATTGTGTCTGTACATGACGTTGTGATATAGTCATGATCGTCTGAACAATATCAACTCATGAATGAATCATGTCTCTACATGACACATACAGTGAAAGGGAGAAGTTTGTACACTAGATCTCATAATAGCTTGATAATTTAAAAACTCCACAATCTTCCTTGTCTGAGGCCTCTCGAGTTTTGGGGATTATTTTAGAAAATGCAGATAAACCGTTAGTACAGTGTGAATTCAAAACTATTTATTTCCTGATTGATATATTCTGTTGAGCTTCGATCTCTCCAGGTTTATCCGAATCGAATTACATTATGACTCGGGTCGGGGGAGTTAACACAGATACATGATGCATATCAAGGAAAATATCTTTTTGTTCAGGTTTTACATGACTCATACTATGAGTTGGGTTCATAATCATATTTCCAATGATACCCCAATCTTTTCTGTCCCGAGCATGTTTTGGTATGTATTTGGATCCATAGTAGCCTATGGTATGTAGACACCTTTAGCATAAAGGTTTAGCGTGGCGTGCACGGGCACCTACGTGAATACTGATATGGATCCCTCATGTAGATAGATTAGAGAGAATGAACACACAACCATTTCACACCAGTATTCAAGCATATGCTAGAAACCGTAGCCACCGAGAGCTACCAACAGTATGTTTCGGTGATAGCATTATTTCCAGCGAGCTCTCTAGTAGGCTTTCAAATGAGGATAAACTTTGTACTATATATACTCGATAGCCAGAGAATAGAGAAGGAACTCTTCCATATTTTGTTATCCGCTACTTCCATTTAAAAAAAAAGTGTAAAGTATCCTCTCATTCACCGCCACCTTAACCTTGACGAATTGGAATTGCTCGATTTAGACTTTGTTTAGGATGTACCATGAATTTTTTTCCATGTTGTAGATTTGGTTGTTCGGTTTTTGATCAAAAATTACTTCATATAGGTGTCTCGTAGCTCCAACAACTGGACAATAAAATATGAGCTGCTGTCGAGACCAGAATACACGACTTTGATTTGATTTGATTTCATTTAGCCCGTTCAGGTACCCTATGGGCCCATGCAGGTATATTTAGGTATCATATTTACATAAGAGGAAACCAAATTTGGTAAAAACCCTCCACAACTGTCTATCTCGTGTCTATTTATTTTCAGAGGTTTCCTACAAGAAGTGCATTTACACTGTACTATGAGGGTCCGGATAGAGCACGAGCTAGGAGATGACGAAGTCGAATCAAATATATATTCAAATCAGGATTATAATATAAAGGATTCTAAACTAAGGAAGAGAAGGGAAAGAAAGCATCTACAGATCTATAGCTGTACATAATTTACACCTGGCCCGTGCGTTCCATACCGGGTAACTCCTTATACTACAGACTAATCATTATGTCATTGCACCCCTACTCATTACTATGATGCAGGGCCGTCACATGTACGTCCAGTGTGAATACCGTCCTACCCTTTTCCCGATCGCTCAATCCTTTCGCTGACTGCTGTATCAACTTCTTCTGCAAGCCGGAACTGTTCGAGCCAGCCGCTTGTTAGTATCCACTCTGTTATTCTTTTCATATCTTCCGGGCTGTTCATCATAGCTTCGAAAGACCTATCTTTTGCCCGTTGCAGCACCTCTCCTCTTCCCTTAGCCAACTGAGGACAAGCCATGACCATGTGTTCCACGTTTTGTGACGGATATTCAAACTGGCACTTTGGATTTGCCACTCCAGGGACCTTTCTTCTATAAAGATAAGAGTTGAAGCCGATATGCTCACTTCTCATCTGTATTGCAATACTACTTTAGGCCCTGCTCAGGTTTCGGTGGATGTTAGAGGGTGTGTTTCTGTAGGTGATTCTTTTTCTGCCTGTTCTCTTATCGGTGTTTATACTTGCTGATTTCCAATGTTCTGGGTTTGCCGACGTCTGGTGAGAAGATAGTCGCTCTTCCTTGAAAGTTTTCCATGCGCTTTCCCACTCCTGGAATGCTGCTATCTTACCCGCTTCTTTTTGTCTACGCCTCACATTTTCGTTCCCGCAGATTTTATTCCACTCGCTAGTGTCTCGGCTTCGATCTTTAGCGTGGCTATTTTCGCTCAGGCTATAAGCCTGCGATATTTTACTACATGCGGATAGAATCGTCTGCTTAATAGGTTGTCCTTCCGAAAGTCCGATATGTTGAACTCTCGTTTGTTTGAGGTAGATATCTAGTGGAATGATTAAACATTTGTGGTCTAAAGCTCTAGTGCTGGTGGAATTATATGCCCCTGTAACTAGCCTCAAGCATTTTGTTTGGATACTTCGCAATGGTTTAACTATCCTTTCTGGTATTCTATCCGTTGGCCCAGCTGTAGCCCATATTGAACACCCGTAAGTCAGGGCTGGTCTCACAATCGCGCTGCACAAAATTTTTGATTTCTTGGATGTTGCACCCCAAGTTGATTGCGTCAATCTACTTATCGACTGTACTTGGGTGTGTGACTTTTGTACAATATGCTTTATGTGGGAGCCCCATTGAAGCTTAGGATCGAAGTAGATTCCGAGGACTCTGAGGGAGGGCAGAATACATGATTAATTATTCTTTAGTACAGGATCACCAATTTATTTTAATATTCCCCTGCACCACGTGAATCAATCAACAGCGCATCATGTACACGGTCGGATTTTCATCAATAGGAGTCCACGACACCATCAGGTCTGCTTATCACAGCTTCAAAGGCCTTTCGTTGTCAGCCACAGCCTTTCACTCATCCATTTTGCCGCCGATGACACACTATGACATGTAGCTAGGTAACTTTTGACGCACATTCACGCTGGTATTTTGGGTTGGCACCTCTGGCAACTTTCCTTCACTACAACAAGAGTCGATCCTGATTTACTCGCTTCGCATACAAACGATAGTACTACATTGTGACCTTTTAAGGATTCGGATTAAATTTATATTATTTTTTTGGTAGATTCTCGTGATCTTTAGCTTCGTCTTCGAACCTGGTTCTAGCAGCCTGAGTTTTAAGCCTCTAGATCCATGACAAAAAACTATCTATTACACTTTTATTTTTCCATGAAGCCTGGCAGAGTATCCACGTTGGAATCTAAATTAACTTTTGGGCTTCTTGGGTGAGCGGTCTTGTGGTATATTCATAGTTTACAGCCGGATGAGGGATACCAATTCGGGGAAAGTTCATAAGGTTTGTAGAATTTTCACCGCTTATTTCACGTGACTTCAGATTTGGGCAGTTCATTTCCAATGGCCTTTGACGCATTTTGGTAATCCATACACTTTGCGATAGCATTTATGTTATCCTATGTTCATATGATGCCTGTATGCCTCGCAGGTTTCACTTATAACTACTCTATATACCTGATAAGATTCGAATGCTCCAGTGTTATATTCTGTTTCAAATCCCCACCGTGGGCAGACTTAAATTGAAGAAGGTAGTTGATTGGCCAAAGCTATCCTTACAAGTGCTCAGAATGAGTACACGATCTCAGTGTAATAATATGGAGAATCTGCTCACTATGGATCTAGCTTTGACTAGGTCTAGTTTGAACCTTCGCAGGTCATATGTTCAAGTTAATCCTGATGCAATTGCTTAGTCTAAAAGTGTAATATTGAACAGCATTCACATTCCTGGTCCTTAGGAGATGGGAAATGAAACTATGGGCACCTTTCTGGAACTGTCCGCTTTCTCTACTGAGCATAAGATTCTCGAGCAACTTGGGGCTTGGTGAGTGGGTAGGTATTGATACATTCCAAGATCTGATTGATTACTGGAATAGATACTAACGAATTGATTAAATTATTTATAGGCAGTCATCCTCAATCTCTTTGTGTTATACATCCAGATGAATGACTCGCCCAATCTTCTTTTCACCGACCGGTACTAGGTAACTGGAAGTCTTCAACATTCATACCGCTAAAATAAGATGTGTGTTTTGTGTATGTATCACAAAATTCATAATTAGCATAAAAATTTCCTGATACAGCAAAGTATTAGACGAAATAAGAATTTTGTGCCAACTGCTATTCTTAGGCAAAGTTTTTTCAGCGTTACCTTGTGGCCCAACGCCCACAATTTGACAGACGTATCCACTTAAGCCGAGTCTACATGGAAACAGTTGTGTCCAAGTCTTTCAATTGATACGAGTGGAGGATATAAAGTGGTCCTGGAGCTATGCTTATGATCCTAGCTCGATCTGTTCCATTCAACTTTCTGGACTAGCCGGCAAATGAAATTTGAGGGCGTAAAGATTAAAAATTCCTGGGTGCTTCTCCTCCAGAAACATCATAAGGTCCATTCTAGCCAGGATCCATGTATCCTTACAATCGGGCTCACTCAGAGGGACTTTCATGGGCAGGGTGAGAAGATTTATTTTATATGCCTCTTGGAGCTAGAAGTTGGCCTAAAGCTCCCCAACTGAGCCGGAACTATGGCTGTGTAGACATTTGACCTACGGCCCGAAAGAATCTTGGGCTCATTATAACTCTTGCTTCGATCCCATTGTCCACAGCTCGTTCTTTTCGGCGGACAATTCCTCTTTGACTACCCCTATTCTACGCTTCTTCAGCCCCAGCTCATTTCTTTTAATCGTAATACTGGCACCAGCTTCCTCTCTCTCTCTATCGTTCACAGTTTCACGACCACGACCACAATCACGACCACGTTCGCGCACCCACGCATCCACGCTCCTTCTCCTTCCCTCTTACATCCCTTGTTTAAAGCATCGACTAGATCACCCTCAAAACTAAAGACTATTTCAAGCCAAGAATATAATGCATGTCTATACATTTCTCAGCGCTGGTATGACTATTGCAGCTACTTTTGCCGCCATGATCCCCGAGACCGCTGTTGATACCAAAGAAACACCCAGTCTTCCTTCTATTCTCTCTATAATTCCGCTACAAAACCTAACTCAGGATGATGTCATTGTCTACGGCCTTCAGAATCAAGTTAAAGTCATCTCCCGCAGCGAGCTTCAGTCAATCATGGGCGATATTCCGATAGCAACCGAGGAGCAGCACAACAAAAACTTATCCTCCATAGTTCCTGACTCTACGGAAACTGAGCCAAGTCGAACTATTACAAAGCGCTGCTCGAAAGAAACAGTCTGGTCCATGAATCCTGTCAAAACTTATTTTAATTGGGATGTTCCCATGTCGAGCGTTATCCATGCACCAGATAACTCAAGTGCCTCTATCAGCGTTAGCACGGGTTACTGGATCTCTAACTCTCTAAGTTCATCTGCTTCAAATTCAAATGCTATCAGACAGTTTATGACTAACAATTTTGATGTATCATACTCTAAATCCTGGACTACAACTCATTCCTCAGGCTATACCTTCACTATCCCTCCAGGAAAGTACGGCTCAATAGTAAGTAACCCGATGACAATCCAACACTCTGGATTCATGGATGTTGGATGTATTGGTCAGTCTACTCGCACCAGCTTTATAAGTGAAAGTTACCGAAGTATGAGCCAATCTGGGATGCCTTGGGTTGAAGGTATCATTACTCTTTGTTTGGGCGATTCATATCCCTTACATAGGTGTACGGGAAGTGGTTTGTTATAAATTAAGCTATGGGATAACCGCGCTTTGGATTGGAATTGAGAAACACTATCTGCCTTGTAATTGAGTTTGCCGCCAGTATAAAATTTGTAGAAGGCGAAAATTAATTATAAAAGGAATAACTCTATGACAAAAATTTATCAGCTACCAAATTAGTCAATTATTTCGAGGAATGAACTCAATAGATTTATATAAATTTGATAGCAATCAATTTTATCTATCCCCTGTGATATTAGAGCTTGCCGGTTGATTTTCATTAAATCTATATACTCTCTTATGTTCATACAGCTTCCCATATCCAATACGAATGAGCTAGAGCCTGATTCATCTCTTGAGTAGTATTTTCATATATTTTGTTTTTTAAATAGTTTGTCACTAGATCTTACTGGGACCATAAGATATCTAAAGAGCTGATCGTCAAGTCAAATAAGGTTAATATCTAGGGATCGAAGATCCTACCAGTCTAGCCTATACTACAATATAAATCCCAACTTCTTTTGAAAGCAATATGGCAGCACGAACAGCACTTTTGATCTCAATTAGATAAAAAAAAGGGATTATTTTGAAGTCGTTTGTTCACTATTATAAAGACATCAAAGGCTTAAACTTTGTATCTTAGCTTATGATTTTCCTAGTGGTCGTAGACCTTAGAGAATATTAAGCAGTGATGATAATTGATCATCTAATGATGGGACCTAGCCAAGTCATCGGGCCGAGTAGTCTACGCCGGACAGAAAATACTGGCACTAGCTCCCGGTCATCTCACAGCTCCAAAATCCGGCAGGGGTGCCATACCCTCAAACACTCTGGGCTCTTTTTGAACAAAGTGCGAGGCGCCCCGTCGCAATCTCCAGCTCCGCTAAATTTCGGCCATGACTCAGATGAGCCGACTCGGTAAACTAGGCGACAGAGAGGTAGAGTCGGCTCGCAGCACACGGACTCTACGTCGTGAGGGCTTTTACCTGACTTTTCAGTCCTTTCGTAAGATGATACATCTACCATTCAAGATGTGAACAACCAGGTGATAAGGGATCCGGCCGAACCTATCTAATTAGCGGAGTAAATGTCAGCAGATCACCTTATCCTGTGGAAACTCTACTCATCATTTACTCGCTCATCATCCCCACCGGCTCCTTTGCCTGGCACCCCCTGCCAAAGCTATGGGCAACTGACTCGAATTAAAATACGTACGTCTATGGGGACAGCCAAATCTAATATGTATCTAAATCGCGCTCTGGGGAAAGAAGAATCGGCCCCGAGTTTCCCAACTGAGCCGGAACTATGGCTGTGTAGACATTTGACCTACGGCCCGAAAGAATCTTGGGCTCATTATAACTCTTGCTTCGATCCCATTGTCCACAGCTCGTTCTTTTCGGCGGACAATTCCTCTTTGACTACCCCTATTCTACGCTTCTTCAGCCCCAGCTCATTTCTTTTAATCGTAATACTGGCACCAGCTTCCTCTCTCTGTCTATCGTTCACAGTTTCACGACCACGACCACAACCACGACCACGTTCGCGCACCCACGCATCCACGCTCCTTCTCCTTTCCTCTTACATCCCTTGTTTAAAGTATCGACTAGATCACCCTCAAAACTAAAGACTATTTCAAGCCAAGAATATAATGCATGTCTATACATTTCTCAGCGCTGGTATGACTATTGCAGCTACTTTTGCCGCCATGATCCCCGAGACCGCTGTTGATACCAAAGAAACACCCAGTCTTCCTTCTATTCTCTCTATAATTCCGCTACAAAACCTAACTCAGGATGATGTCATTGTCTACGGCCTTCAGAATCAAGTTAAAGTCATCTCCCGCAGCGAGCTTCAGTCAATCATGGGCGATATTCCGATAGCAACCGAGGAGCAGCACAACAAAGACTTTTCCACCGTTGTCTCCGAATCTACGGAAACTGAGCCAAGTCGAACTATTACAAAGCGCTGCTCGAAAGAAACAGTCTGGTCCATGAACCCTGTCGAGGTCTTCCTGAACTGGGATGTGCCCGTATCTAATGTTGTACTCGCGCCACCTATGAATAGCGTTTCTTTGAATATAAATCAGGGGTTCTCTATCGGGAACAGTGTAAAGACTTCCCTTTCCACCAACATTAAGGCTATCAAAAAATTTCTCTCCAGCAGCTTTTCGGTGGGCTTTTCGAAGCAATGGACCACGGCATACTCGGCAGGCTACAGGTTCAGCATTCCCCCAGGTAAATATGGTGTGATTGTTAGCAATCCCTTGACGACACGTCACTCGGGGTTCATGGACGTGGGCTGTATAGGCCAAGCCGAACGGACCGAGTTTTTCAGTGATACTTATCAGGGCAAGGATTTTTCGGATATGAGCTGGGTAGAGGGTGTGATTGGGCTATGTGTGAGTGACACGTATCCGGTGAAACGATGTTTAGGAAGTGGTACGATGCAATAGATATGACAATAACATCAATCATTTCTAGTAAAATTGAGAGCAAAATTATCCTTCGCACAAGCGCCACCAAAACTTATTTCACAGTTTGCGTCATCTTGTCGCCACATTGATTACAAGGTGATAATTCTTTGCATAATAGAGACAATAATCAAATCGTAATGACCCACTACATTGCGAGTTTGTAGAGCACAATTTTTCATAGGGGCAGTATATCTTGTGTGAAGATGACTAAATACTCATTGGCGATGTCTATTACAAACCTAATAGTGACAGATTATCTAGCAGTCTAGTCCACTAAAATTGCCTGGAAAGAAGACTCATGTGATTTAATTGTAATGGTACCTTCATTTCATCCAAATTTCCTTACACGACCTTGTGTATCATAGCAGGAGAGGAATATTTAATAAGAAATTTTGAATTTGAAATCATCTTCCTGATTTGGCCCCCGATGAGCCCATGCAGGTATCTACAATCTATAATATTTACACGGGATGAAAATGTCGGTTTATGACCGGTTTTAGTTAATGTGCTAGCACAAAGATTGGGTAAAATGGCTATTGATCAAAACGTATATCTATCTCTATGTATCTTGAATAATGAACGGAAGTAAACCCCAACGCCGCACCAACACCACGTGACCAATATCCGTAAATTTCACCATAGCTATTCTACCAATGCCAATATTCACACAGAAACCTTTATGCTTGTTGTCTTTAGGTTTCACATATTTTTTCAGGAAGCGCAGTTACACTATATAGCCATCCATTTGAACCAACCACATCATCTCTAACGGTCCCAGGCATTACTTAACCTATTTCTTTTCCTCAGCAGCATTTCGACCGCCTATGTCATCTGGAATTGCTCTATCCAACTATGATTTAGGATCCACAGTGTTATCCTTTTGATGTCTCCAGGATTGTTTATCATCGCTTCGTAGAACCGATCTTTGACTTATTTCCAGATCTCCGCTCTACCACTCGACCGTCGGGGGCAGGACATATTCATATACTTGGGGTTCTGTGATTGGTTGAGACACAGACAGCCCGGAATTAATACTACGGGTACTTTTCTTCTGTGTAAATACGAGTTGAGCCCCATGTGCTCACTGCGAATTTGCATTGCCTAACTATTTTGGGCCCTAGTCAGGTTACGATGTAGAAAAAATGGTGAGTCTTGAAAACTCTGTTTTTGCCGTCCATATTTTCGGCTTTGGTAAAATTTGGCCGCTCTCCAAGCTTCGGGATCTGCAGTTGCTAGCTGCCGAGGCTTCCGAGCTCGTTTCGACTTGATTAATAAGGTATTGTTTCACGCTATTCGGAGATTCATAGATAGATGTTTATTGTACGCATATGGAGGTTAGTAGAAGTCATTTTGATGCCTAGATGACATCCCGATCGGTTGTATTATTTTTTATCATTAAAGTACGTATAAATTTCTTGACATGACACATAGTTATCGTTTTGTATACGCTTTCTGTGCCTCTTTTGTCTTAAACGACGCTCTTAGTCTGAATTACATGCGCAAATAGTACCATGAGGCATGCCTGCTTACACGAATAATCGACTCTACTCAGTGAGTACCCACGAAGTGGAAGTCTAAACATTGAGTATAAAAGCATACTCTCGTTATCCATGTACACCGGCGCCGCGAGGTATGTGATTGAGAATTGCCGGATTCGAACCATTATTCTTCTGAGTCAGGTAGGATCCATGTCCAATCTATCAAGAATTTACTTGGAAGATCGGCTCAGATGACATTCCACCGCACCATCAGGCCATGATGGAGCTTATCGTGTCGCCCGCACTCTCGCAATACAAGGTGTGACGCGCACAATGCTCAATTAACTCAAGTCGTGCCCAAACCCCACCATCTCACCCATGTGGAGACTAGCTTATATTGTGTCTTAAGGGTCTGAGTCAGTTATACTTGAACTTATTGAATAAAACTCTCGCTGTTCTAGCGGTAATCTGAACATGAAATTCTTCAAGTCAATATGTTTTTTCTACTTGGGAGCATTTCTCCAAAATCGAATCAGACATGACCTTGATTTTCCTACACAGGGTTCGAAACTGAGTCTACTCAATAGTAAGAGAAGCTACTCGGGAAAATTCAGATGCTTAGAATGGAGTTCTGATCATGGATATCGGGCCAGCCTTAATCGATCTCTATCGGAATGATTGATCTAGCTGGAGTTATTTGGAGCCGGTGGGAGTTGCATCGAAAGGGCTAGTTCTCTTAATTTATGGATTCTGACATTCGGATAATGCTTTATCCGAATGAAAGCTAGAAAGCAATTTCATAGCATCAACTCTGCAGAACATAAATAACAATGAATGCTCATTTCTTTTGAACAAGATTTCGAACTACTTACACTAGTACTCTCATAACTTTAAGTGAACTTATAGACTTTTAGTTTATGAGCTTTGTCATACCAACAATCTCAATGTGACTATGGTTGGATTTATAAGTAGATCTTTCTAAATCTTAGGTCCAGATAAGTAACTTCGGTTACATTTATTGAAGATGAAACTGTCAGAGTAATTTTCCCACCTCTTAATTCATTATATTAACTAAGGTTTCGGAAGTCGTCACATTTGTCATATGGCTTATAATTTTTATGGTCTTTTTAATCTTATCATACTACTTCGTCTGCTTCGCTTCTCGCCGTCTTAATTTATCTTTTCCATGTCTCACACCTCTCTCCTATCCTTAAAACCCTAAATCTCGCCAGTTCATTCATCTCTCAGTATTCTTTTACACAATTTTATATTCTTGTCATCAATAAGATACCCTCGGCAAATGGAAATCTTCACTTAGCCCAGCGCATGCGCTAACAGTAGCTCTTATCGACCCAGTCTCAGGCCTCATCTAGCCTTCAAATACACAACCTCAAAAATAAGAATACCAATAAGACTAAGATTCTGGCCTCTAAAACTTGCAAGGTAGGTATTTGTGACGGGCGCATGACATACTGCAACAGACGGACAGTGCTATGCTAAATATGAATACCGAGTTAAAAATGGAGATTTTACGATTTTAATGAAGATATCTTTTAATATTCAGCTTTAATGGCACCAAGACCTGAATTGCGAGAGTGCAGACGACACTGTAGACACCGGGATGGCTGGATAGTGCGGTGGTATACCACCTGGGCCGATCTCCTGGGTAGATTCTGGATAGCTTGGACATAGATGCTAGTTGAGACAGTAGATCGCTGATTCAAATCCGGCAAAACACAACCACTTTTCGCGCGGCGCTGGTATCCATGGATGATGAAGGCATGCTTACGTAGCCAAAGGTTTCGAAATTCTCTAAAGTGGGTACTCACGGATGAGGATCGACCATTCTGAGTAGTCGAACATACCTTAAAGTGGTCATTGCGAATGAACCTCAAGGTGTAAGTGCCTGGAATGAGAAGAGGGGTCCACCAGATCTGCAAAATATTGATAATGTGTCATAGCGATGTAGCTACATACATATTCAAGTGGCCAAAAAAGATGAGTCATTGAGTTATACTTAGTACACAATTTCCAATAACTTGTTTATGCAAGTGATATGACTAATTTCATAGCTCCCACTTGACTTGTTGAAAAATGTCGGGCACAAACTCGAAATACCTAGAGTTTTACTTTTAGCTTATCTTTAGCTTCGTTTCGAACAGTGTGGGTTTGAATTATTATAGTACTTGAGTCTTCAAATATCTAAGATATTGGACTCCACTCTAACTCAGGCCACACCTTGTACAGTGCTCCTTGCCTCTTTTGTTACTTGAAAGATCATTGATATATTCCCCTTGATGAATAGCTATTCAGCTCAATATTTACCCGTGGAATTCGGCCACCTTTTCCACGGAACCTTGTACCCAAAAAAAATAAAAATAGTAGCAATGGAAACTGCTTGCGAGGGAGGCGCAAAAAACCTACTGTCCCAGCCAGGCGAGGCCTAGACACCGGGACCACATGAGGTGCGCATATTCATCTATATCTCCCTTCTTTGTAACAGTCGAGGCCGACTTGATCCAATCCGCCATCTCCGTATCGGGTGCTTGGTTCGCTCCGGAAACGCATCGGATGGCTTTTTCTCCATGATCAAGGGTTGGTGATGAGAAGGGCTTCGATCCCAACATCTGATCTGATCGTGGTTAGCTTCATGATAATGTTGATAGGGGAATCCTCGTCGAAGTGAGGACTTTGTAACTCAATCTCCGCTCTGCAGGCTCTACAGTGAGAGCTAGAGGTTCGTAGGGGGCACCAGTGACAGGTGTTGAGAATAGACTCCCTCTTTATGATTTACGGGGGAGAAGTAATTGTCGAACAGGGCGGCAGAAGACAAGGTGAGAAGAGACTACCGTAGGAAATCTCAGCAATATAATGTTCAACCATGTCATTTAGGGGCATTTGTGAATTTTATCCATTAACAAAGTTTTCTTTAACCCTCTACCACTGGAGAATACGCCATCCTTCCAGCCTCAACCAAACAGGTAAACGTAAGCGAGTGTCAAGAAACGGGGTACTCTTACCGAGATTGGTCTAACCGGTACATCAAGCTACATGAAGGAACAAAAGGGAACACAAACTGAGGAAGCCTTGGTGGGCGACTGGATGAGGCCTCCAATGAAGAAAACGACGCCTGGATGAGATGAGGAGATGCTGAGGTGAGCCATAGCTGGGAATGAATGGAAGGGAAAAGTTACAGATCGCGGTGTCAAGGGCTCGGGCGAGTGGTAGCCGAGGCTGAAGAGAAATTTGCGCCATGGCGTGTCGACAGCGGGTTTCTGGACGGTTGGGCTTGACAAGATTCAACACATAGGTCAAGTCTGAGGTGGTCCGGTCATTTAAGTGGTTTGTTTGTTTTGTTTTGTTTGTTCATTAACGTGCTAGGTGAAGTAACTACCGTCGCATTCCTACTGGAGCTTGAGCACGAGTGGGGTCGGGCCGGATCAGGTTAACTACCGTGCAGTACAAATGCCTCGTCCCACCCAAATGACCAGGACCAAGCCA